CCTGCAGCCCCTCCCTTCTCTACTGAAGCCCCTCCTACCGACTGCAGCCCCTCCCACCGACTGCAGCCCCTCCTTCCTACATTCCCTGCTTTCCACTGATAATGCTTGTGCGTCACAGAACTCAGGCCACTGATTTTAAAGTTTGAGCTGAGCCACATGGCGGGGCGGCGGTGAGGAAGGCATGAGGAGAACAAAATGACATTAAAGCAACAAAAGGGCCTCCACGGTCACCACTCCTTAGGGCATTGTCACGCGGAATAATCTGCAGAAGTGGCCTCACGTACATAGGTTTTCCTGACGTGGGACCTTTCTGCTTTGTTCACGTGCCGTGCTGCCGAGTGCCCCGCGTGGCGGTGGAGCCAGCAGCCTGGATTCGGGCCTCACTGCCGAACTCTGGACAAGATCCTCTTTCTGCCGTCACGAAGAGGGGGGCGGCAGGGCCCGGGACACGCAGGACGTTGAGTGAACATCACTGTTGTCACCGGGGCCGTTTCCCCCGTTTCTCTGGCATCTCATTTCTCTGTTTTCACCTTCGTGACGCCCCCGCCTGGTCTACACCCCGCCTGTGGAACTGTTCGAGGGTGGAGGCTGAGGTTTCCTCTCTGCGCAGGACTGTGTGCAAATCTGCTTGTTTCCCCCTGGGGAGGTTCCAGCTCCAGCTTTCAAGAAAAGGCCCCCTAATTGATAAAAAAAGATCAGATTTAGCGTGGAAGGTTGAACCTCACCTGGCCAGTGCGTGTAGCATCCAGGGCTTAGGGACAGCGGGGCTGGCAATTTCCCAGTGGCCTAAGCCTGTCACGGGGAAACCTTGGCCAGGGACCCAGCAGACAGTGGCTGTCTCAGGGTGGCAGTGGCTGGGAAGCCGTCTGCTGACCGCTCAAGTACCTCCTGGTCAGTCTCCAGTTAGATCCACTGAAGACGGCACTCCCTCTGTGAGCGTGACAAATCCGATCCATCCGTCAGTGCAGGACACAGGGCAGGACAGAGAAGCGATGACTCTGGGCCGCTCTGAGTGGGAAGTGGAAGCAGCCTGTGTGGACCGAACGAGACAGCCCCCAGGGAGGAAAACAGACATGACACAAGCCCACTTACATGTGTTTTTAAAACTGCACGTTCTTCTATGTGAACGCAAACAGGCAGAAGGATCTGAGAGCATAAGCCACACCTCGGGGGCGGCAAGGAAATTGCCGGAGATCGGAATGTTGTTTACCCGCATTCGAGTTTTCATAGGAAGCGTGTACTCGCGTACTGTCTGCTCAGTGATGGTACACAGACGCACGCAACAAAATGGAAGTCCTGTCACGCGTGACCAGAGACTTGGGTCAGAAAGGCCTGGTCGTGGCGTCCACACCACGTGCTGCACGTGCGACTTACACGAGCGACTTTCCCTCTTAGCTGTAGACCGGGGGGACCCCCCAGGCCACTGGACATGTCTTGGGACATTGGCACGACTAGGGAGATGCTGGCAGAGGCCAGGGGTGCTGCCCAACACCCCACCTCACCCAGGACTGGGGTGGCCCCACAGCGAATGCTGGCCCCCGTGTCCACAGTGCCGAGGGGGTGGCCTTGCCATGGAGAGACCATAGTGTCTGCATCACAGAGTGTTTCGAGGTAACTCGCAACTCGATGAAAGGTTCAGAACGAAAGAGCTAGCTTTAGGGAGCAGGGAATACAGTTAAAAATTTTTTTTTAATTATTTTAAGATTGATAAAAAGAGACAAATAGACAAATAGAAGGAATTCCCATCTCATCCTGCAGACAGAGCGGGGCGGGCAGGGTCCCCTGCCAGACCAGGCTCACCTGACGCCTGGTCCCCGGCTTCCTCCCCGGCCACACCACCCTCTCTGCCTGTGCTCTGCACCGTCTCTAACTGGCCACCACGCACGGGTTCCGGAGTTTCCGCGTGCATTAGGTTTTCTAGAACTCTCCACGCGGCCTTTCTCACTGAGCGTGGTGGGGCAGAGCGCCAGGAGGGGACACCTGGACCTCCTGCAGGCTGCTTCCCACCCCTGCCCCTGGCGCAGCAGACGGCGTCTCACAGAGGCCATGCCACAGGACCTGCGGAGCACAGTGTCCAGATTCCGGCCCCGCTGCACCCTCAGCCTTTGGTCCGCTTTCCTTTCTGGACTGCAGAGACCAGGACCAGCTCTGGCCCTTGGTCAGAACCAGCCGTGTCCACCTCACATCCGAGGGGCCGGCAGGTGTGTCCTCAGTGCCCGCCTAGAGCCGGCCACACCCTGGGCTTTGGTCTCCAGGTTCGTTGCCAGGCAACCTTACGCAAGACACTTCGTTTCTGTCTTTTCTTCATTGTCAGGTAGATTTGGGGCCATACCCAGAGTGGGGGGCGAGGTTGACTGAGCCCTTTGTCAGGTTCTTTGCAGGATGCTCCGTGCATAGTGCTGGAGAGCGTGGGACAGGCCTGAGGGGAAGGGCAGGCTGTCATCAAGCCCCGTGTCCTCTGTGCCCCTTGGGAAGCCGGTCTCTCCATGACAAGGCTGGGGGCCTTGGGCTTAGGTGGTGACTTGGCTGCCTGCCTCCTGCGCCGGGGACATAACAGGAGTCACATCTGCTCCGGGTGCCCGTCGTGCTCACAGTGGCCTCCGGCTGGCTGGGAGGGGGACCCAGGCCCCAGAGTGGACTGGTCAAGCTTGGGCGCCCTCGAGGTGGCTCTGGCTGCATTGCGAGCCCAGTCACTGGGCCCAGTTGGCCCCAAGTGGTGCTCACCTCCACGGCTCTGCCCCGCCTGCCGCTGCTGCAGCAACCTCAGGGACCCCTGGACGTGCAGTCTTGAGGCTGAGGCTGTGGTCTGGCCTCTGTTCCCGTGGAGGAAATCGGGCGCCAGCTCCTTGGGAACCAGGGGACGCTGCGTTTTCATGCCCGCCGCTCCGCCGTCCCTCTGGGACCCGACCCTGTGGCAGCCCCACCCGCCACCTGCTCAGGGCGTTGCTTTCTCGCCCTGTGCTGCCCCCAGGACGGCGGCTCCCTGGACCAGGTGCTGAAGGAAGCCAAGAGAATTCCGGAGGAGATCCTGGGGAAGGTCAGCATTGCGGTGAGTGCGTGAGCGCTGACAGATCCTGCTGCCACCCCCACGTGGCCCGTGGCCCGTGTCAGTGCGGCCCCTGCGGAGCCGAAGGGTGGCGACACATCCCTACTGGCTGCACGGCTGAGCTTACAAAGCGGGGTGACTTCCTGTCCCACAGACGCTGGTGCGTGGTCCCCGGCATGCGGCGCACCTGGTGCCGGGTCGTGTTTCCTCTCTGCCTTGGCGATGCAGCCGCCGCACCCCACCAGTCTTGAGGGGTCTTTAGCACAGCCCAGCGCCAAGGCCTTTGACAGAGGATGCACACTGGGGGAGGGCGACCTCCGAGGCGTGGCGCCCAGCCGGACACTTGTAGGCCTACTAGCGGGGCCTCGGGCCTTGTCTCACCCTCTGTGGGCCCTGCCCCCCCGCGGCATCTGCCTCAGGGCTGGGTGGCTGGGTGGGAGCAGGTGAGCCAGGCACCGTTACCCACCAGTGGGGGTGTCGCTGCCGTCGCTGCCCCGCTCCTGAAAGCGGATCCCCAAGCTGTCCCACACCCTGTGGCCACTCTGGTCTGGCCTGAAGACCTGCCCAGAGGAGAGCCCCCCACATGGCACTCCCGGCTGACCCCCTGCCCCCGGCCCCCTGCAGGTTCTGCGGGGCCTGGCGTATCTCCGGGAGAAGCACCAGATCATGCACCGAGGTGAGACCCACGGGAGCCCTCGCGGGCCGCCGGGGCTGGCGGGCAGGCCCAAACCACGCCTCACCCGCTGGCTCTGCCCCCAGATGTGAAGCCGTCCAACATCCTCGTCAACTCCAGAGGCGAGATCAAGCTGTGCGACTTCGGGGTGAGCGGGCAGCTCATCGACTCCATGGCCAACTCCTTCGTGGGAACTCGGTCCTACATGTCTGTAAGTCGCTTGTGAGGTGTATGAGCGTCACGTGCTGTGACCCGTCAGCTCCTCCTCGTTTTCCAGAAGCTTTTGCAAAAGGCTTTTTTCTTGGCGGTATTTCTCCTCCTTCCAAGGTCTGATTTCTGCCGTGTTCTCACAGAGGCGTGTCTCTGGGGGCGCCCGCCTGCCTCCCTCCTGCTGCTAGTACAGCTCCATCCAGGAGGGTAGTCAGGCAGTTTCTGAGCCTTAACTGGCTCTCAGGTGTTTTGGGGTACAGCCGGGTGGGGAGCAGAGCAGGCCACGACGTTAGACACGG